AACCAGACCAGGAGGTCATGTCCTTTACAACTCCAAGAGGACTGTATTGCTACAAGGTCATGCCTTTTGGCCTAAAGAACGCAGGGGCAACATTCTAGAGAATGGTCACCAAGATGTTTGAGTCGTTGTTAGGCAGAACAATGGAAGCTTACATCGACGATATGGTGGTCAAAAACAAGGATGAGAACGACCATCTAAGGGACCTAGGTGAGATGTTCCAGATTTTGAAGAGGCACAAGTTGCGCCTTAATGCATCTAAGTGCGCGTTCGGTGTAGGATCTCGCAAATTCCTGGGCTTCCTGGTGACCAACCGGGGTATAGAGGCAGACCCCTCCCAAATCAAAGCTATTCAGGATCTGGAGAGGCCTAACTCAGTAAAGGAAGTACAGCATCTCACCGACATGGCAGCTGCACTCAACCGATTCATTAGCCAGTCGTCAGACAGACTACAACCATTTTTTCAAGCATTAAAAGCCAAGTTCGAGTGGGACGAAGAATGCGACCGCGCTCTGGAAAACTTGAAAGAATACATGTCTTCTCTACCACTGCTTGTCACCCCAATACCTAGAGAAGAACTCTTCTTGTACCTGGCAGTCTCTCAGTACGCAATTAGCGTAGTATTGGTTCGTGTGGAAGGAATCCAACATCTACCCAACTATTATGTCAGCAAGACATTGCTGGGAGCCGAAACGAGGTACTTGCCACTGGAAAAACAGGCCTTGGCCTTAATGATGGCCTCAAGGAAGTTGTCGCACTACTTTCACGCCCACACCATAGTCGTCCTCACAGGTTTCCCATTAAAAGCTTTGTTTGAGAGGGCGAACTTTTCTGGGCGAATCTTGAAGTGGGCAGTAGAGTTGGGACAATTCGACATCAAGTTCCAACCCAGAACCGCGATAAAGGCCCAAACTTTGGCAGACTTTGTCGCAGAATTTACCCCGGGAAGTCATCATATCTGCCTAGTCGACCTGACTAACACAACCGAACTAGGGGTGGAAGTTGACGCCGGAATAGCGCAACCCCTGGTGCAGGATACTCAGTCGGACCCTAAGGTAGACCAGAATAAAGAGAGCAAGGCAGAAGCGAACCATGCTACACCAAGCCAAGACTCACCAACAAATAAAGACTTGGTTCAATTAGATAACGAGGGGCAGACAGCCAGTATGGACCTTGAAGAAAACACCAGCAACATCCTTGACCCCACGGCATCATCTGATCCTTCCACTTGCTGAAAATTGTTCATTGGAGAGATGTGGAAGCTCTTTGTGGACGGAGCATCCAACCGGCATGGTGCAGGACTTGGCATAGTCTTCATCTCACCAGACGGCCTGGTTGTGGAGGAAGCAGTCAACCTTGGATTCCCAGCGTCAAACAACGAAGCGGAATATGAAGCGCTTCTTGCAGGTCTCAAATTAGCATTCTACATAAAGGCCACCGAGCTAATGGTCTACAGCGACTCACAGCTGGTGGTAAACCAAATTTCTGGCGACTACGAAACAAAGGATGACAGGATGGCCAAGTACCAAGAATTGGTTGGAACAGAGATCAAGAAATTTGAAGTAGTAAGGATCGAACAGATTGGAAGGAAGAAAAACAACAGAGTAGACGAACTAGCAGGCTTTGCTTCAATGGCAGATACATCCATCCCTCATCCATTGCTAATTGACTACTTACCAAGACCAAGCATTGAAAACTCCGAAGCAGAAGAGGTATGTTGTGCCGAACTAGGCCCCTTATGGATGGATCTAATCATACTATTCTTAAAAGACGGCGTCTTACCAGAAGAAAAGAAAGAAGCCAATAAAATTAGAACAAAGTCACAGCGATTTTGGCTCTCCCCTTCTATGACATTGTACAAAAAATCATTCTTTGGACCTTATCTAAAGTGCGTTCACCCCAGCAAAGTGGAAGCATTCTTGTTCGAAATACATGAAGGGGTGTGCGGAAGCCACCAAGGAGGAAGATCGTTAGCTTACAGAGCCATTTCGCAAGGATACTGGTGGCCATACATGCAGGCAGACTCGGAGAAGTATGTGAAGAAGTGCGAGAAATGTTAGAAGTTCGCATACCAAATACATCAACCGGCCAGAGAACTCCTACCATTGACCAACCTATGGCCCTTTGCAATGTGGGGCTTGGACATAGTATGACCACTTCCAACAGCACCCGGAAATAGGAAGTTCTTTCTCGCAGCAATAGACTACTTCACAAAGTGAGTGGAAGCAGAAGCATTGGTATCGATCAAGGAAAAAGATGTGAAGAAGTTCGTTTGGCAGAATATCATTACTCGATTCGGCATACCTAAAACCCTAATATCAGATAACGACACCTAGTTTGATGGCAGAATCTTTAGAGGCTTTTGTGAAGAATACAAGATAGAGTTCTACAATTCTACACCAGCATATCCCCAAGCCAACGGCCAGGCTGAAGCATCAAACAAGGTCATCTTGGATGGATTGAAGAAAAGGTTAGAAAGAGCAAAAGACAAATGGGCTGAGGAGCTTCCTCATGTTTTATGGGCTTACCGCACCACACCTCGACGATCAACAGGAGAAACACCATTCTCCTTAGCCTATGGCATGGAAGCAGTAATCCTGCGAAAAGTTGGCCTCCCCATAATTAGAAGCGAAAATTTTGATCCAGACTTGAATGGAGAAGCCATAGCATTAGAGCTCGACCTCGCCGAAGAACGAAGAGAAAAAGCACTGGTTCACATTGCCTCATACCAACAAGAGTTATCCAGGAAATACAACAAGCCAGTACATCCAAGACAATTCAAAATCAGAGATTGGGTACTGCGCAAAGTAATGGGAAACACCTTGGTCCCAAGAGATGGAAAATTAGGGCCTAATTGGGAAAGACCTTACAAAGTGGTCGGATTAGCAGGAAAAGGTGCTTACCACTTGGAAGACGAAGACATCAAAATAATTCCCAAACCATGGAACACTGCCAATCTCAAACTATTTTATTTTTAACTTTACTTTAAAATAATTGTAATTTTTCTTTTCCCCAATAAAGCAAGTAGTTTTCTTTTCAGCATCGGTGTTTTTATTCCATAAAAGTTATTTTAGTAGGCTAGGGGCATTGAAAGAATAGTTGGCCGGAAAAACCAACTTAGAGGTTGGCTGGACAAACCAACACCCTTCTTAAGCCTAGGATAAGGATCCAGGCTGCAGGACGTTTGGTCAGAATAACCAAACACTTTACTTTAGGTTGGCCGGAATAACCAACCTAAAGGTTGGCTGGAAAAACCAACACCCTCCTAAGCCCAGGATAAGGATCTAGGCTGCAGGACGTTTGGTCAGAATAACCAAACACTTTACTCTGGGTTGGTTGGAAAAAACCAATCTAGAGGTTGGCTGGACTAAACCAACTCTTGGTATTCTTTAGCCGAAGTAAGGACATCGGCTAAAGAGTGGTTGGCTGGACTGAACCAACTCTTGGTACTCTTCAGCCGAAGTAAGGACATCGACTAAAGAGTGGTTGGCTGGACTGAACCAACTCTTGGTACTCTTCAGCCGAAGTAAGGACATCGGCTAAAGAGTGGTTGGCTGGACTAAACCAACTCTTGGCACTCTTCAGCCAAAGTAATGACATCGGCTAAAGAGTGGTTTGCTGGACTAAACCAACTCTTGGTACTCTTCAGCCGAAGTAATGACATCGGCTAAAGAGTAGCTGGCAGGATTAAACCAACTTTTAGTATTCTTCAGCCGAAGTAGGTATCTCGGCTAAGGAGTGATTGGCAGGTATACTTATAGTTGCAATGTTAAGACCGGGATAAAGTATCTCGGTAAGAGAATGCTGAACCTCATGCAAGACTTCAGTTAGAAAGTAAAGTATAAGCATTGAGATCAACCGAAATAAGAGTTGGAACAAAAAAACAGACTTCATTGAAAATTCAAAGCAAGTACAATGGGTGGGGCCTCAGCCTGGTTACAATCTGTCCAAAAGCAAAGAAAAGAAAATACAGAAATCAAGCAAGAAGAAGAAGAAGGCAAAGTTAGGCAAATAGATCATCAAGATCCGCATCAAGTTCAACTCGCAGCCCAGTTTCAGTTGGAAGCTCAGTTTCGGTCGGGAGTATGGTCTCGGTTGGAAGCACGGTTTCAGTTGGTAGTTCGACAGTCAGATCTTCCACCGTTGGCTCCGACCGAGCCGACTGACAGGCGGGATCATTGACAACTGCGGTATCGTTGGGCACGGTTTCTTCTTCATTTGAATCTTCAAGAAACTGTTGCTGAGCGGTAGCAGCATACTCCGCCAGTGAGCTCGGTATAAAGTATTGAGGAGGATTGAAGACCTTGGTCTCAGGCCCATGACCGAGCTGCACCACAGTAACCCTCCACCCGCATTTAAAGAAGAGATCCTTTGCAGCTTCACATTGCTTAATGTATAGGGCTTCACCCTCTTTAAAGCCCTGGTCCTCTACAGCCTCCACTTTCTTCTCAAGCTCCGTTATTTTGGCTTTCTTTTTTCCTTCGAGCTTGGCCAGCTCACAAAAGTATTTGTCTTTCATCAGTGTCAGGGACCTTTGTTTATCAGCATTAGCCGAGGTAACTAGTCCGATCAGACGGGTGACCTCGGCCTCTAGCTCGGCGGTCTTCTGTTGAGATGCTTCTAGCTCGGCCGTTTTGGCTTCAGCTTCTACCTCTTCCATGGCTTGCCTTGTTATTTTCCTAAGTTCTAACACTATGGTTTTTCTGTATGGCCTGCAAAAGGATGGTAAGACACTTTTTCAGTATAACCGAGCTGATAGATTGGACAAATTTCTTTAGAAAAAATAAAGAAAAGGGGCAACTCACCAGCATCATGGATTTTGTGGACGAGCGAAGGGCCTTCAGCTCGGTCAGGTGGTTGTGGTGCCTCATGTCGGCTGGAAGACAAATACCTTAAACCAAGTTGAAGGCCATTAGGTGGTCTTTTTCTACGACCACTGAGTCCAAATCTGTGATAGCACGGTTCTGAAAGGTGATTTTTGGAGCCCACTTGGAGGAGGTAGCTCAGTCAGGGCACTCCGGTTGTGGGCTCAGTGGAGGGCTTGGCAGAGTGGTTTGAGGAACCACGGTTTTATCTTCATCAACAAGACGTTGCTCGGTTTGGGTAGTCCGGGCACGCTTCTTTGAGCGAGATGATGAAGGTTGTTGAGAAGGCAGAGCTACTACGGTTTCTTGAGTTTGACCAGCTGGCGGTACCTCGGTCAGATTTGTTTCAGTTAGAAGGGCTCGCATGGCTCTCTTCTTGGCCATCTCTTGCTTAGCAGTTAAAGGGATTAATCTGACTTGGGGCAAGGTTGGGTCCGGTTCAGGCGAAGCCTGCAACAAGAAATCAGTTACCTTGGTCTTTCGCTTGCCACTGTATCGATAAGTCGGCTGGAAATTCAATAGCTCGGCCCAACTTCGGTTTGGATATCGCAGCACGGCACGAAGTGTAGCTAGGTTGGGGTAGCTGTACTGTGACTTGAGGAAGTTCGAGTCTGCATAAAAAGAAGACAACTGTCAGTCCGGTTCAAATATTGAAAACCGAAGTAAAGAAATGTGTACAATGGAGCCAAGATAAACCTACCGACTACCCCCTTGTTCCAGTTTATTCTGTCACCAGGGATCTGGGCTTGTTGGTCCTCAAAATTTCCAGATACCTAGAAGAAATCGTCGTCGTTCACATCTTTGTCCGGAGTATCTTTTATTATCTTTTCACGCCGGCGTCTTATTCTTAAATAATAGACCCATCCATCTTCGGCGGATCCTATAGAATATTGGTGGAAGAGTTCTGCTAGCCCGAGGTTAAGACCAGCCCGGTCGTTTAGTGCGGCAATGCCGTTTATTATACGGTAGGAATTGGTGGAAAGTTAGGTAGGGCAGAGTTTGGTTTGCCTAAGGAATTCACAGAGGAGGGGCTGTACGGGGAAACGTAGACCGCACTCTACGATTGAAATAACATTAAAAGGGACAAAGCCTTGCTTTTCCCAAGAGATGATGTCTAGCTCGGCCAGTGAAAGGTGGACGTCATCTGGGATTTGGTAGTTCTTGCGAAATTCAGCCATTGCGCCAGGAGAGTCAACTAAAAACCTATACTTTCCCATTTGTGGTTTGAGTTATGAATAAATTATGTGTGGGTGTTAGCTCGGTGGAAAAATGATTCTGAGTAGCTTGGTTGAGCGCTCAAGGGAATGCCTGGGCAACCTAAGTCTACAAAGTAAAAAAAGAAGTGTTAAGCACTGATCATTGGACCGTGCTACAAGAAACAAAGACATGATAAATAAAGCTCTAGTTCGGCTACGCAGTTTTAGCTCCATTTGAGCGAAGGGATTTAGCTCGGTTGAGCCTTTGGGACAGCTTTCTTAGTCCGGTTTTAGCTAAGGAAGTTGGTCCAGCCCCAACTTTTAGCTTGGTCACCGTTGAGGCTCTCTAGTGTGGCATTGCGCAGATCTAGCGCGGTTCGGTAGTTTGGCTAGTTGAAACAAACGGTGGTTTGACTTAAGGAAGCTACAAGTATGGCGCAAGTTTCAGTTTGGTTGCCAGGTATGGCTAGGCTTACGACCAAGGCAAACAACTTCCTAGTTCAGTTGCATAATTATTTGGGATCAAACCCAGTGTTTCTACAGATTGTTTCGTGAGTTCAAGTTGTTCTATTGCTAAGTTTTTTTCCAGAAAAACGCATGACCAAGCAGAAAATTTGTTTTGCAAAAACACAAAACAATATGCCATGGATTGTAAAAAACAAAAACAAAATAGATTTGAGTAGCTTACCAGGTCAAGAGGAGGAAACTGAAGATGGAAGCAAAGACAGTGAAGAACACGAACTCAGCAAGCTCAGGGTCGAGGAATGTCAGAGACTCGCAAGAGAGAGAAGTTGAATAGTAAAGTGAATGATTCAAAGCATTAGGGCTTGTTTTGTGAAAAGAGAAGGGAAAAAGGCGGGAACTGTTCAAAAAACATGAGGTACGAAGACGGCGTGACAGTTGCCTTTAGCCAATAAGAGCATGCCGCGTGTCCTTGGAATGAGAAGCGATTCAGTCTCTGTGATTGAAGAGACGTTTTTACCAGACAAGTACAGCCCGGTGTAAATTTAGCTCGCCTGAAAAGGCTTAAGAATTTAGCTCGGCTGGAAAGGCTAAAGGGTTTTTAAGCTCGGCTGGAAAGGCTAAAGAGTTTAGCTCGATCGTAAGGATAAAGTTTTTAGCTCGGCTGGTAACAGGTAATCCTTATCATGCTATGTAGATGGAATTAAGGGACAATTGAGAGGGTAATTTATATGTAAATTGGGCCGAGCTGGGTAATGGGCTGCTATGGACCACAGTACGAAGGACTGAGTAAAAAAACCTTAAAATTAGTCCGGTCCTAGAAGGCCTTCATTAATCCAGTCCCAAAGAACATATTATTATCTCGGTCCAGGAGAGCACTACGGATAGCCTGTTACTTTACCTGTTAAATATTGATTACTTTAATTTGTACCCTATAAATTTTTTTTTTTTCAAAGGATCCCAACAGGTTGATGGCGTCCTGTGACACCGTCACGCAATGTATAGCGCCGCCCCTGGTGTGGTCCCACAGCAAGAAGTTTGAATATTCACCATTGATCGATAATTGTGAATAATTTTCTGAACACTTTTATGGTTTTTAGACTTTCCGATATCATATCAATTTGGTGCACATAAAGGGAGAAAGATGTAAAACATCTCCAGTCTACTTACTGATTTTTTTTTCTTCTTATTGTTTTTAAATTTTTTTTACTTATATGTATAAATATCCATACTTGCTTTGCTTTCCTAAATCTGTTGTGCATGAATATGAACTTGAAGAATGCATGTGTCCTGCATGGAACCTAAGCAAACCTAATGAATTCTATATTTCAAATTGTTGGAAACCATAGGTTGGAAACTATGTGGTACAACATGTGGTATAGATGGTGTGACTTAACCTTAAAGGCCATATATACATGATTCATCCACACATGACCTAACTACGAGGAATACATGGTTTTGGACATATCGTACACATAGTCTGACTTAACCATGAGGTTTACATGATATTGCTATATATGCCTATAAGTTCTAACCAAGGCTCATGCCCATGCCTTGTGAATACACACCAAAAATACAATAAGATCTTCTCTCTCTATTCATCTATCTTGAGATTATTATTTGCAAGTCTAGGAATTTGGAATGTGGATAAATATCAAGAAACTCTAGTAACTTCTCAATTGACGAAGATTTTTCAGATAAGACTCGTAATTTCCGCATCAAATAATATGATTGCTTGTATTTTTCCTTCACAAATAATTCCATTATATGCACAATGGTTGTACATATTTATTTATATTATAAAGTGAACAGGTCAGTTTGATACATATGGCTTTTAAAACATTGTACCGCTTTCCTTTTTATTTTTTTTATTTATAATTATTTAACAAAAATCATTTTTTAAACTGTTAATTTGAAAATTTAACTGGAAGTTTGGTATAAATTCAAAAATTGAGCATTTATTTAAATGCAAAAGTTAATATAATAAAAGTCGTATCCAATTTTTCCATTGCCTGTTTGTTTGATGAAGAATATGGAGTTGATGAGAGTTGATGCGAGGTTGCTTTTGTGTCAGTCTTTTGTGTGCTATTTTTTTGTTTTCTTTTGCTTTTTTCGCATTCTCACTCTTTGACTAATCATCAATGCATCCAACATAGTTAAACTATTGAAAAATCAAACGTACCCAAGTCAACATTGCCTAACAATGTCATGACACACAATCATACATTGGAACAAATCAAATGCAATATTAACCATACATTGGATAACAAAAATTCCATATTTTGAGCGATTACCTATGCATTCTAAATTTTTTGGGATGTGAAATTTATAGTTGTTTGTTTTTTGGATAAATTATAATAAATTCCATCTATTTACATTTTGTTCATTTAATTTTCAAAATTTAATAGTTTAAAGTATTGTCTTGTTATAGTTAATCTCTTCTGTTAGGGATTTATACAAAAACAGATCATATGTAAATCACATGACATGCTTATTGAATTTTTTAAGGCAATAATGTCATTATCTAGTGATCTCATTTGTATTTTACCAATAAGATAAGGGATACAAAGTCTAAATGAGATCACTAGATAAATGTATTATTATTTTAATAAAATCAATAACGTGTATTATTGTCTTAAAAAATCAATAAGTGTGCCACGTGTTGATTCCATTTAAATCCTGAAATAGAATCCTAACGGGAATGATTAATTGTAACAAGATAACAGTTCAAGGTGATCAGTTGTTGCATTTTGAAATTCAGAGGGGTAAAATGCAAATGAGTTATAGTTTAAAGGGATTTATTGTAATTTATCCTCTTTTTTTTTTTGGGGGGGGGGGGGGGAATTAAGCCCTAGAGTCCCTCTAATTTTAGCAAAATTTCACTCTGGATCTTATAGTTTTAATTTGAACAATTTAGTCCATACACATTCAATTATATTGCAATGTGGACCCTCCATCATGTATTGTTAATATTTTAAACGAAAAAATTATGTACAAAATTAAGAAGAGTAAAGTGGAATTTAAAACAAATTATAGGGACTTATTACACCGGTGGCCCTGTAGTTTCTTTTGAATTTTACTTTGATTCCTTTAGTTTCAGATAGGGTCTTGTTCTATTCCAAATTCTAACGGTAAATGACAGAAAGACCACATTACAATAAAATTGAAAGTGTAGGGAGTAAATTATTTAAATTGAAATTGCGAGACTAAAATGACATTTCTCTTAAAATTACAAATACTATTGGTGTAATTTTACCTTCTTTTTTGTCATTTTTTTTGTTGATAATTTTATCAAGCTAGACCATGTGGATATTATACCAAAAATAAAAGAAAGGATGTTCTTAATAATTCATGCACAAAGAATCAAAATTCTAATATAATTCTGGTTGAGTTTAATGATTCAAAACAAAGGATCAAAAACATATGAAACATAAGAAAGGCCACCTAAAGATATCAAGTCAAAGGAAGAACCTGCAAAAGCATATATTTTCTACCTGTCATTTTTATTTTTATTTTATTTTATTTCTGCAAACAATGATTGCTAATGTGACGAACATTCAAAACCAGCAAGAACAAGGATGAAAACTTTTTGCCAATATCATACATTTATATTACTTAATTTAAATGCTATATAAGTGTGCACAATATCTTAGTGTATATATATATTTATTTGTATTTTTAAAAAGAAAAGAAATTAATAAAGCAAATAAAACCAGGGAAGTTAATAACAAATTATATACTATATCATTTAGATAGAAATGGTAACTATGATATCATATAAGTTACAAAATTTATTATTTGCCTTTTTTTATCTTACATACCTAACCTTCTATACGGATAGATACTTAGGCAGGGAAGAAGAGAGAAAGAGATAAGAGTGGTGATTCATCCCACTAATTTTTGGACCACTAATAGCTCTAATGAGCTTAAAAAAAAAAAAAAAAACAAATTCAAGCCAAAACATCACATCACTTTGGTGGGGGCCATTGTGCCACATCATTAGTGATATTCTAGAGCTCCCAATTTAGTGCTCTAAAACATTATTCAAGAGATAAACATTCACTTAAATTGCATTGAATATTATTTATTTAGTTTTTTTTATCAGCAAAAAAAAAGAACCTTTATTATTTCAGCCCTACTATGCACACAGAATGAAATACATAATATACATGACTTGATAAGGTATAAAATTTTCATCCTCATAATATCATTTGCAATTTTATCAAGGTCTCTAGATAGTAAACTCTAGCACAATTTGCTCAAAATATAAAAAGGCGAAACACACACACACATATATCATTCCCATCCTTTTTATTTTGCAGGAAAATCTATAGAAGTTTAACGGAACAACTTTTTAATCTTCTCATATAATGCTATGGAGTTGGAGATGCTATGACAACAAGAGTTTTCCAAAAACAGTAAGTCTAAGAAAGACAACACATCCCTGTTTAAAAAAAAAAAAAAAAAAAATCATTGCAGAAAATTATATTAGAATCATTAAAATCATCATCATCATCGAATGGAAATTATTTCGGAGAAGCAGAGACAGAAGAGCAATCACAGTAATCGTTCTCTGCCGACTCCATCCTATGGAAATTCCTATGACAATTACAAGCCGCGCACTTGAAACCCGCGCTGGTCCCTTCCTCCCCAGCAGGCATGAACTCCCTACAACCATCCACCGCGTACCCACCGATATTCGCTGCATGGTTCTTCCTACACTCCATGTACCTCACCATCTTCTCATTCAACAAATCACCACCAACACCGCCATTCGAGGTCTTTTTGGGCTCTTTTTTTTGCTTCATTTGCTCGATTTCGTTCTCACGTTTGGGTTTTTATGGATTTTGTAGCTGTTGATCTTCTTCAACTAAGCTAGAGGTTGGAGTGATTTTGGGTCTTTTGTTGAATTGGCAAGAGGTGTGAGTTGCAGAAGTGGTTGTCAATGTCATGGAGGGATAGGTAATAGATATTAGCACCTCCTAAGGGTAGCTCTATATATAAAGTCCTTGGGATAAAAAGGTAGGTTTGTTGTTGGTTGCAAGTTAATACTGATGCTATGTCCTTTTTAGTGGAAGTGCCATTTGGCCTCTATTTATTCCAAAAATGGCCTTGATAATAAATCCAAAGCGGTTCTTTGTTATGATTTTGATTTTGTGCAAAATCAACCAAGTGTTTGTTGGTTGTGAGCTTAGGTGAGGTTGATTACAAGGCAAATAGTAATGTTAAATAAATTAAGGAATTTTATAAATTTTCCTTACTAATATGAGTTATTTCTATCATATTATTTAGGATTAGTTACACTTCATTTCTATATTTATCCAAATTTTACTCTAGTCTTTATAGTTTTAAATTGAATAATTTGATCTATACACTTTGGTCATGTTTGATTCTACAAGATTAATAGTGAGGTATTAATAATCCAATCAAATTAGTGTGGTATTCACAATCCCACCCCTACCCCATTACTAATAATCCTACAAATTTGTTGGATTAATTATCCATTGGATTGATAATCCTAAAACAAAATGCCAAAACAAACATAGGATAATTGGGTCCGCGGATTAATAATCCCAATCCCATGCTCTAATCCTTCCAATCAAACATGCCATTTAAGTCTAGTTTTAATTTGGTTCTTTTGTCTAAATTTTTGTTATTTTTTTTTCTATGTAAAATCTTAGAAAGTTGACAAGTGTTCCAAAATTGATAATTATAACCTTAAATTTAAACGTAATAACCAAGTTGAAAATGAACCTAAAGTGTCACTACAAAAAATTAAAATTTTAAAGACTAAAATTTAGGGACAAAATTATTTTTTAGGGACCAAATAATTTGTTGCGAAAAGTGTCATTATTATATTTTTAGCAACAAAATCGGGCATTAGTGATGAATTATTATTCTTTTGGGACTAATTTTTTGATCTCAAAAAATAAACCATTTTGAGACAAAATTATTTTATTTTTAAAAGTCTATTTATTAGTGTCATTTTCAAAATTTTGTCGCTAAAAATTTTATTTTGGACTTTTCAAGGACGACATTTTAGCGGCTATCTTCATCACCATGAAAATTGGTTCCTAAATGTCTTTTCAAACGAAATTTTCACTTTTAGAGACCAAAACATTTGATCTCTAAAACTCTTATATGTTGTGTGTATAATAACATTATTCAAATTAAAACAGTAAGGATTATAGTGAAATTAGATCATCAAAATAGAGGGATGAAAGTATAATCAACTCTATTAGTTACATGCATCATTTTTGAAGTTTCAAAATTTTATTTTGCATGCCACATTTGTTTAGTATAAAAAAAAACTTTATAAAACTTGTTAGTTTGATGGTTGGATTATGTGGTAAAGTGGTAATGTTGGTAACAAGGCAAAGTGACGTTGATAATGACTAAAATGACCATGGTCAACTGAAAGTCTTAAGTACATATAAATGATACGCACTATTTCAAGTGATGTGCACTATAGCCTTATTTTGATTTTTTTTTTTTTTTTGTACCATACAATAAGTTATTAAAGGATTAATAAGTTAGATTATAATGAGATGATTGTAATTTTTTCATCGACTTAACCAATAATATTTAAACTTCTTATTATCTCAAGATACAACTACATGAATCACTGAACCAAATGCCCTATCGTACTTATCTTGATTTTAACATGATATCATTTATATATTTTAGCCTAGATTTCTAAAATTTAACATAAATTTATCAAATAAATTTTATATATTTTCAACTCTTATGTAGATGCACACTACAAACATCATGTCACACTCGACCACCGGAGTGGTGGTAACGTGAATAACACACTTACTTTTTACATGGAAGAGCAGGGTTCAATACTTGGGGTTGCATTCTTTTGAGTTGGCACTATATTCATGTTGCTAGACTCTGCCTCCTACTGTGGGGTGTGGGTGAGGTCCATTATTAACTCGGTAGTGGGTTCCTTCCTATGAGTTGAGTAAAAGCTGGCTAACCAACTACTTTAGTGTTAGGGCATGCAGATGTTATGATATCCCCATGGAGCGTCCTTCATTATTGTTCAAAAAAGAAAAAAAAAAAAAAACCATGTCACTCACTAATATTTTATTAGTAATACTACAAACTCAGACTTAAGTACTCAGAAATTATTCATAATTATCATATTGTGGTTCAAATTTATTTTACACATAGATCTCATATTACACAATTAATCTCCATTATACAACCACTCACTTAAAAATTTTTGAGTAGATAAATCTCCAATCTCAAACTTTTTCATATTTTATGGAATTAAAGGTAATGGTGAGTCCTACATGTATGCATTGCGCTTGTTATGGGAGGTTAAAATGTTTTAAAAAAAAAATTGGTATTCATTTAGTTTTTGATTTTATTTCATCGTATAGAAGCATTATTTTCAAATGATTTTTTTTTATTACCTCCAAATAAAGAAATGCAACAAGATAACAAAGGTTAAGGGTCTTGATCTATGCTATCAAAAACTATTTTATGTTTTATCATTTATGTTGGAGTTCTTTTTTTAGAAAAATAAATAAATACAAAAAAAATCCCTTATGTTTGTAGATTCTTTTTTTTTTTTTTGGTAATGGAAATGTGCATAGTAGAGTCTTTCATTAACTTTTATTTTATTGTTGTGTGACGAAAACAGCCTGACATGGCCAATGTAAACCAAGCGTTTTGGCTTTTTGATTCAATATTATAAAGAACTAAATAGTGGAATGTGAAAATAATAGAAAGTGAATTAAAAAAAATGGGAAAAAAAAATTTCTCGCATAAATTTGATAAGGATAAATTTTTTTTTGTAAAAAATGAGAGACAGAGAAAATAATAATTCTAATAAATAACCAATTTTATTTACAAATTTAATTTGTTATAATTTTTGTAAAAGTTATTATACTAACATGAGTTGTACAAAAAATAATCTTCTAACTTCTACCATTTTCATGTTAAACAAACTTATGAAAAAAAATTCTTTTGTTACTGTTGCTATTGTTGTTTTTTATTTTGTTGTGATTTCCCTCACTTTCTACCACTTTCATCTTAGGGATTTTTTATTTTTATTTTTTTTCTTTTAAGAAAGAAATGAATGATAGAAAATAAAAATGGTAAAAAGTGAAGTGAAAAAAAGGAAGGAAAAAGAAATGAAAATTTATTTTCTTGCATGCATTTGAATAGATGAAAATTTTTATAAGAAAATGATGAGAAAAAAAAATATATAATCACTATATAATAGAGAATTGTGTGGATAAACATGGGAAAAAAAGAAAAGAAAAGAAAATAAACCTTGTTAAGATTTGTGAGAAAAAATAAGTTTTCCTTTATATTTTGAAAGAAATTGTTAGCCTAACTAACAAGCTGATTTGAGTTGTATAAGAAACTTTAGTTTTCATTATTTTTTAGAACTCTTTATTGATGTTGTCATTCACGCACCAAAATATTCTATTTAAACCAAACAATAGCTTACTACTCTGTAAAATAGCGGTTAATATCAGGTGTCGATCCTTAGGGACTAATCGAGTTGTGTTGTTTCAGAAATAATTATTAAAGTAATTATGAAAGGTTGGTAAGAGGGTTTTCAAACTAATTAAAACTTAAAATAAATAAAATAAAATAAGAAATTTCCTAAGTTTTCGAATCCACAACTAACTTTATAACCAAGGAATTTTTGTATTAGTTTTCAGAAAATCATTAATTTGGATAATATGATGTATCTTCATTAGAAATACATCGTCAAAAGAATTTATATATTAAAACCTGAAAGCATGACTCATCTTCGCGTAGCATGGATTGTCACCACTGAACTACAGTTGATGCACGACTCGTTTTTACTAGGTATGACTTGTCTAACAATTTTAATACACAACAGTGAAAACAATTGTATAACATGATTTGAATAAAATATTTATTACACAAAAAGATCTAAAAATTATACGATTTATCCAAATCAAATCAAAATAAAAATATTAAATATAATAAAACCTCAATTACTTGATCAGGGTTTCATCTCTACTTTAAGAAAAAAAATATTAATTCCACATAATTATAAATAATCTATGAAAGAGAAATCTCTAAATTATCTCTCTCTACTTTAGTCCTTGCTGGAGCTCTTAAGCTCTGCTCTCTTCTCCTCTTGCTGCTGGAACTTTCCTTTTATGGATGAATATGAGAGTTTGCAAGAGCAAATAATAAAATAAATGTTGTACAAATTGTGTGATAACATGAATCAAATAAATTCATATATTTAACAATTTGAATTTTGTGTTGGAAATTATACATAGATAGAACATAAATTCATAAAACTAAAATTGCAGAAGAAAGCAAATCGAAACCTGCACTAGACAATGTCCTTAAAACAGATTTGCCGCCTCACCGGTTGGGTGTTGAAGGTTGTTCGACGTCTGTCTCCCAGGATACGACGGTTGGACCGGCTATGTAATGCACCGACTGAATAGTTTCGACAAATAGAACTTTGCAGCAGTCTCTCACAGGAAGTGTTGGAGATTTCCTAAAAGCTTCAAAACTTTAATTATTTTTATTTATTATCATATTTTATTATTTATTTATTTCCTTTTATAGCCTTATTTATTTGAATTTTAAATTTGGTTTTGGCTTTGATTTTATCTCAAAAGGTGTGTCTGTTCCAAACAGATACCAAAGAGCCTATTTAAATAGGACTCTAATTGAGAAAAGAAGTACAACGTACTCTGATCTCTCTCTCTCCTTCTTCTCTTTACAGTATTTTATATTTCATATTTTCTGGGCAATTGATACATTCTTGACAAATTCTTCTGGTACAACTGTG